TGGAAATGCCCTTCACAGAGCTGGGCTCAATAGGGGGGTTATCAGAATACTACGATTCATCTTTGGTTAAGTCCCTCTTTTGAGAAAGCTCTTTTTATCCCCCACGTGTGGAGAAGATTGGCCTTCCTTACACCTCCTCTATGTTCTTCCTTCTCTTCCCTCTGTGTGTCCACAAAGCCTTTCTCACATCTGGCAAATTAGTGGCTTCATCCTCTGTGTTCCACAAGCTTCATGTCTGAATTTACCATGACATGGTTCCCATCGAAATGCAACTGTTTCTACTTTACTAGATTGGAAGCCTCTTAAGGGATAAGACCAGAACTTACGCTTTATTGGGACTACTTGTCTCTCAAACCCCACCTGCTGCGGTAGGCTCTCAATGAATGCATGCTCTTTGAATAAATGAATGAATACATGCCACCGGAAGTTTTCGCACCTCCACAAACAGTGTTCTAATCCCATTCCCACACAGTGGAATCGACTGGAGGCTGACACCTACCTCTCTGTTTTTCTTTATTCTGATCTGTTCAGGTCAGTTAAACATCTACTTTCCCTTTACTCACTCAAAACATTTTCAGGGGGCTGGCCCCGTGGCCAAGTGGTTAAGTTCGTGAGCTCCGCTGCAGGCGGCCCAGCGTTTCCCTGGTTCGAATACTGGGCGCGGACATGGCACTGCTCATCAAACCACGCTGAGGCAGCGTCCCACATGCCACAACTAGAAGGACCCACAACGAAGAATATACAACTATGTACCAGGGGGCTTTGGGGAGAAAAAGGAAAAGAGTAAAATCTTTAAAAAAAAAAAATTTTCAAAAGCTTTTCATTAGAAAGCTTTTTGGGTGAATATATCTTCTTTAAATCACTCTATCTGACTCAGTTTGCTTTTCAATTTCTTCTAACATCTCTTCTAATATTTCTAAATCTCTAATCTCTTCTAATATCTCTAAATGATATTGATAAAAATCACCATTTTGAGAATCAAAGTGTATTCTTCTTACAAATACCAATGGGAATAACGTGAAAGAATTATCATAAAGCGGGAAGAATTTGTTTGTCAGCTGCAGCACATCCTTAATTCAAAATCTGGAGGCAGAGATGTGAATGATCAGCAGAGCTACTAAACTTCTGTGGTTTCAAAACCAGGACTCAGCAAGGCTCCAGAGAGAGCCTTATCAACGCTGCAGGAAATGGAGCGCCCTGAAGGGTCTCTTTCTGGCTCACTGGGCGTCTCCCAGTCAGCCACTGCCAGCTGGAAGGTCCTGGCTCTGTGTGAGCTTGCCCACTCTCCCCTGTGCCCTGTTGCTTCACTTCCAGAAGTAGGTGGGAGCCAGTGGTCTGTGGTTAGGAAAAGCCAAGTGCAAGGAGTGAGCCCCGAGGAAAGGAGTCGAGAACCTTGCCCCAGGCCGGCAACTGTTAGTTTTCAAAACCAGCAGACGCAGAAGCTGGAGATGGTGGAAACTGGAAAAACGGAACCTAAGAAGTAGAATCTTTGTTGCAAAAGTTTCATCCCAGTGCTAGGTCTTTCTCCGTGTGTTCATATTCCTTTTCAAACAAAAATACATAAGTTCTGTATTAGTTTAACACTGTAAAAGATAACAGAAATTTTTTTTTACAAAAAGCTTTTCCCGGTACTTAAAATTATTCTTGCTGTTTCCCAACTGCTGGAGGAAAAAAAGGCTGCTCATTTGTTGCCGTTTAACAGATTTTTTAAAATTGAAGAAAAATACAATTATAATAATAACTAATTATGTATATCATCTCCTTTAATTTCATCTAATTCTATCAATACCATTGTAAAGTAGGTATGCTCTGCAAACAATAAACTGAAGCTCAGAGATAAGTAACTTGCCAAGACTCACACAGCTAGTAAGAAAAAAACTATTCACCAGATCATATCACCTCGATGATCCTTAGACTCTACAAAGCCCCCTTGCCTTTAAAACTTGCTTCCAGTGTCTGCCAGAAGTGCCGGTAGCTGACTCCTTATTAGAGTAAGCTCCAAATAAGCAGCCTTTGATTAATTCTATAAGGTGCTCCTTACTATTTTGACCTCATCTCAAAAGAAGAAAAACTGGTAATTTAGCAATGATTGTCTGAATACACTAAGCTAGACTTTATTAAACACTCTAACAATATGAAGACAATATATATACATATTTGCTAAAGAAACAAAAATGACTTTAGACTTATAATTTTTTTTAAGTATCGCATATGTTTCAATTGCCCCTGATATGTGTGCCCCTCCAATGTGCTTTTATTGTTGACTTAAGTGTCGTCTCTGGTCCCTCGGTGTCTATCCACAGACCCCAGGCTATAACCTGAATTTCTTCTGCTCCACCTGTTGGGGGTGAGAGGCAGCGGGATGTGGAGCCAGATTTTCTACTCAGTCTGCTCCCTGTCTCAACAGGACACTGGTAGTTAGCAGGGTTAATAATAAAGAATAGTTAATACAGAGTCCTCCCCTCTGCTAGGCATATGGCAAGAGCTTCCACATGCGATCTGCGTAATCCATAAACAATTCCATGAGGTAGTTTATATAATCACCACCAATTTATATATGGGGAAACTGAGGCTCAGAGAGGTTAAGGACCTCGATTAAGATTACACAGGCCAAACTGTCTGGGCTTTTAGCCTCATGCTCTTCTGCTTCAGGAGGGTCTGCGTTGGCTGGAGGACCATGCTTGATTCCCACTTGTGGGGACCACAGCACACATTTAAAGAGACATGCCTGTGGCCTCAGGGTGCTGCACCATCCAAGAGAGAGGTGCCCCACGACCCATCCATTACAACATTTTTGGCCTCCCTGGGCCTTGCACCTTGTGTTTACGGTCTCATTTAATCCTGACAAGGACTCTTGAAGATGAAGTAGCATTTATTTCTTTTGCAGATAAGGAAGATGAGGCTCAATAACTTGCCCAAGGTCATGCAGGTAAGGGGAGGACTAAGACTTAAACCGATAAACCTTTACTAGCCCCACCTCCTCTGCCTTTAAGCAGGGAGTTAACTGACTCAGGCTCAGCACAGAGGAATTTTCTTTCAGGACCAGTTGAGTGGTAGGTGTTCCATAAGCAGTCCAGGAAGAATTCGACCAGATGCTGTTTGTGTTTCATGGAGGGTAGAAGAGATTTCTCCCAGGATGGCACCAGGCAAAGCAGGTCAACGCGTGCCTGGGCCTGCCACCAGCAGCCGCTTCAGTCAGGCCACAGCCTTCCCTGGCGGCTGCCACACTCAACTGCTCTGAAGTGACATTTTCCGCATGTTCCTTTGTCCCCTGTCCTGGAAGGCCTGCACATCCTGTCCCCCTCAAGGCCCAGGCCCCTTCCTCACTCTCCCCGCGGGACTTCATCCCGCCTTCCTCCAGCTAAGCAGAGGTCTTGTCTCTCCTTCACAGGGCGGCTCTGGCTTTTATTTTGCTTCTTACTGATGTGCCCCTGCCAGTCCTGCAGGGCAGAGGCCGCGGCTCCTTCATCCCAGTCCCTCCTTTAGCGCCTGAGGGGGCTTGGATAGATGTGTTGATTTCATGATTTTTCCTCTTGCGCTCAAACTGAATGCTCTTGCCTGGCTCCTGCTCGGGTGGGGCCTGGCTAATCAGAATGATGGGTTCCTTGTAGAGTGTGAAGAGGTGCGCTGTCAGAGCCGGCATTCCTGTTGTAACTGAGACACACAGCGCCGTACACTCGCGCTTCTGGGCTCAGGGAGGGAGAGGTGCAAAGCGCGGCGGAGCAGGGCTACAGGATTGCCTTCGGTGTCACCTCCTCCCGCTGCCGCCCTTTCACACTTGGGTGGGCACACAGGCCAAGATGGAAGGCGAGATCCTAACTTCTGCCGAAAGCAAGTGGGAGGGAAGAGAGACGAGAGGTATTCCATTGGTTGTCTGGGAAAGTGAATCGCACCTTCCCTCACTTGCGGAGGATCAACTTTTCCCACCCCTCTTCGGGTGGGCACTCATAACCTGGGGTCGCAGTCAGAACCTGGGAGCCAAGTGGCCCCAATTCAAGGGAAGTGGAGCTGGGCGGGCAGTGGACGCCCCAAGACCCCGGGAAAAGTGCTTCGCGTTGTCCTGTGTCCCTCGAGTCGCCCCTGGGGGGCAAGCATGCGGGTGTCAGAACGAGCGGCCTCGGGCGCAGGGTGCCAGGGCCGGGGTACTGCGCATCCCCTTTGGTTGCCCCGCACGCGTCGCCCGCGCCGGGCCCCCAAGGGTTAAGCGCGGGTCCCGCAGCGTGGTGGTAGACCCGACCACCCGGCCCAGGACGCAGAGCGCCGGCCACCGCCTGCCGTGCGGGGCTGCGGTGCGATGCGGCGCTGGAATGAGGAAGAGCGGCGGCGAAGGGAGGGTCCGGGCGCGCAGCGCGCAGGGGTGGCGGCGGCGCGCAGAGCGGGCCCGGCGCGGGCGAGCGGGCTGCAGCCGGCGGTGACGCCAGCAGGTACGGCCCGCACTCGCCGCCGCCCCGGCGGCCGTGGGGCACTGAGGTCCAGCCCCGCGCCGCGGCAAAGTTTGTGCGCGCGACCCCGGAGTTGCGGTCGGGACGGCTCCGCGCGAGCAGGCGACCCGGTGGCGGGGGTGGCGGCGACCGCGCGCCCGGCTGTGTGCCCTGCTCCGAGTCCCGCTCCGCGCCCTGCTCTGCGCCGGAATCCATGTCCCGCTCCGCGTCCCGATCGATGTCCCGCTCCGAGTCCCGCTCCGCGGCTGGTTCCACGCCCCCCTCCCGTTCCGCTCTGTGTCCCACAGCAGCGAGCCCGACGAGGGCCCAGGCGTACGCGCGGGGCAGGGAGGCTGCGGGGCAGGTCGAGCTGGGACCGCAGTGTGTGCAATCCCAAAGTTTGTGGTGCGGCGGGCGCGCGCTCCAGCCGCCGCTGCTCTGGGCGGCCGCAGGTGGCAAAGCGCCGGCCCGAGGGGGCGCGGCGCCGAGGGGCCCAGGTGCGTGGCCCGTGGGCGGCGCTGTGCGCGCGGGGCAGCCGGCCGGCCGGGAGCAGGAAAGCCCGATCGGAGCCAGCGGGGGGTGGGGAGTGTGGCGGCGAAATGGGGAACAATGCAAGTGAGCAACTTCAGGAAGTCGTTGTGAAAGAAAGCTGGGAAGAGCTCCGCGGCCAAGTTAGCAGGGCACTCTAACAAGTGCCTGCGCGGCCCGCGCCCGGGGCGGCGACTGCAGCGACAGTGCCTGGGTCCCCGCGAAGCGCAGCCGAGCCCGGGCGGGACGCTTGGCCCCGGCGAGGCGGCCGACCCGGGCGAGCCCGGCAGGGCAGAGGGAGCCCCGGCTCCAAGGTTGCTCTTCGCGCCCGAGGATCAATCTTGGCCCCCAAAGTGCGACGCACAAATCCACGTGAGTGTTTTCAAATTGAATTTCAATAGGAAAACTTGGAGTAGCTGGTGGATTTAAAAAAAGAGAGAGAGAGAAGGAAAGAAAAGACAAGGCAGTAAGATTTGTAACCCCTGGTTTCGCTCAGGTCCGTCTCTCCTTTCTGGGGACAGTGAGAGCGTTGACTTTTGTCAAAGCTTTCGCCACTTTATGCTGTGACCACAGGTGCAGGACCAGGCTGGCAGTGGGACACTTCTGAGCCGCCCGCCGTCATATTTAAATTGATGTATACTTAACTTAGTGAGATCACGGAAGTCAGCCTTCATAAAGTCATTCATAAAGAGCTTTGTTTTCTTGTTTTTGAGATGAGAGCTTTTTGCTTATACTGTAAAACAATTTGATGGTGTCTGAACTTGCTTTCTGCAAAATAGGAATTATCCTGGTTTGTAAAATTAGTAGTACTTCTGCTGACTGCAGTTTTGGCTGTCAGGTTACGAATCTCCTCAGTAATGAGGCATCAGCTTACTTGCGACTGCATTTGAAATGTATTTTAAAAATTTGTCAGGGATCCTTGGTGATTCCTAAGGGATCTTGTGAAGGGGTGATTGTTTTGCTTCTAATTTGGAGGCGCGGAGTATGGCATCTAGAGAGCGAAAAGTGCGATGATTCCATGGGGTCTGATCAGGCACAGCCTTCAAAAGCAGTTTCCATTCTCTCCCTCCGGCTAGAGCCCGCCCAGAGTGAATTTCAAGGCAGTGTGCTTCGCTCCGGTTGCACACTCATAATTTCCCACCCTGCTCCCGACCGTGTATTTCACCTTTGAGGTGCCTTGTTTTAAACTTGGAGAGACAAACTGTGGTTGAAGAAATGTCTCCTTACTAGTCAAATCAACTTAGGTTAAAAGAGAAAAATTTATGGAAATTGAAAATATCTAATATGCATTATATTTAAACTTTCTTGGAAATTTAAATGATTTTAAGGATTGGTTCACTTTGGTTATGAGTTAAGAGGAGAGAGAAACCTACAGGAAATGGTCTGAGCCTGTTGAATTTATTTCTTTGTTTGAAGATGCTTGATGAAGCTAATAGGACTCATCTTTTACATGAGATTGTAAAAGTAATAATTTAAGTGTTATTTATATTAAATATGTCCAAATTGTTTCAGTGACAAATCAGATTATGTGGTACGTGGCTTAAAATTTAAACAGTGACAAATATCCGTGACAGGAATACTACCTGCTTACACTATAGAACATGTCGAACATGTTAAAAAATAACTAGTACACACAGATATAAATAATGATGTCCCATTTTAAAATCCTATTTGATTCTGGTTTGATCTAATGAGTCTGATTTGAAAACTTCCCATGAACAGCCATGTTTATACCTTTTTTACATGAAAAATAATGTGCTTCCTGGGCTTGAAGTCCACCAGGGATGACCACAACATTTTGTCGAGTTAGATGGTTGTGTTTTCTTCCCCTTTTGTTTCATGGTGATAGTTGAAGGCCGGAGATTTAGAAACTCCACCATGCTTGTTTGTTTAATTCATCAGTATTTTAACTGAAGTGCTACATCTTGGAAATCAGACATCCTCCCAGATTCAGGAGTGTCAGCCCATCATCCTGGTCTCACAGAATGAGCCCACGGGGCCATCAATAAAAGTGTGCCTGTGTCATGTTTGACCAACTTCGCAGTCTTCTGAGAGGATGTAAACTGTGGCTGTCCTTGAAGCCATTTCCCCTGTTGAAAAATTAAGATCGTAGCGAATTTCCTGGCCAGGAGATCTGAAGCCCAGCAGTGCTGGTGGCCACTGCGTCCTCATCCCTTGACTAGAGACTGAGAGTTTGAGGATGGTGGTTCTTTGCTCTGGGGATTTTTCTCCTTGATTTGGATTTGTGTGTTTCACGTTTGGTTAATGCAATAGCGTATTGTCAATATAGATGTCAAACTTTTGAAATTTGAGAGACCACTCGTATATACGTGCTGTCTAGTACATGCCATGCTCTGAAACGCCCCACCCCCACACGTGCACACATTATATGTATACGTCAAGATTGCGTGTGTGTTAATAGATATAAGAAATAAAGAATTCTGTGAGTGTACTCACACACACTGAGCATGCATGCAGTGTGGAGAGAGAGCCGTGGGGACAGGGTGGGAAAGAGTTTTAACATCAAACAGACCCGACCTGAGTAATAAAGCCCCTCCTTTCTGGTTTTATTTATTTCTTACCTTTTACTGAAACAAGATGGGTTTTCCTATATAATGGTGAGTTTAGGCATAAATGCTGGTAGTACTTCGGGTGTCTGGCTAATACTGTATGTGCATGCAGTGTACTTGCAGTTAACCCAGAATTTGTCAAGGATAGCACCATTTAGTGGCAATTTTCCCCTCCTCTAATCTTTGTAATTATGAAATAATTTCATTGTGAAATAAGTCTCAGTTTTTGTTGTCTTATTCTAACGGAGATTCATGTCAGTGGGTCCAGCTCACACAGAGCAAACCAAGGCCCTCTTGGGTTCTCTGGCAACCTTGCTATTTCTAAGATGACAAGCATTTTCGGGCACTGTGACTCCTAGCCACCAGTCACTGCACCTCCTGCCCTGCCCATTAACATTGCTCCCTGTCTGGTCTGATACACTTATATTTGCAGAGCCCTCAGACGTGTGTGTATAATCATTCCATTGCGTGGGAGCACACAGGAGATGGACAAGCCACAGGCAATCCATCCTTTGAGGCTTACAAGTGGAGAACGATTGATCCAGTTTACACCTTGAGATGGATCATTCTATTTTGTTCAAAAGAGGCACTTGTGCGTGTGGGATCTAGATCTTAGGAAGATCGACTTTCAGAGCATTGGCATGATACACACACGCATTGAAAATTCAGACGAGGAGGGAGATGGGAAAGGGGTTTGTCAGGGACTTCAGCACCCCAAACCAGACTATAGCAACAGTAACAAAACTGTTTTTATCGTGGTGTCGTGTCGACTAAATGCTCACACTGGTTTCTCCACGTAGACCCGTGGCGTTATTGCTGTGCTTTGAAGTTTAATGCATGACTTCACACCTCAGGTTATCTTTCTGCATCTCCTGTAATATATGCTCACGTCCTGCCACTTTCAGTGTCCTTGCTTTAGGAGGTTATGTTTGACATAGTTTTTAAATGTTTGATGATATTCTAACAAATATTTTTAAGATCTTATGAAACATTAAGAGTGAAGTGCTGCGTTATTATCAGTGAAACATAGCAAACAAAAGAAGCTTTGCAGGAAGTTTCTAAGTGGAGGAGTGGGCAGGGCCTGCCCTGCTTCGCTGTGTGTCGCTGGCGGTCACTCCTGAGAAGGGTCTGAAGGGGAAGCAGCTGAGGTCTATTCTGCAGGCAATGGCCTGATGTGTTCAGTTGACTTTCTTTTCCTTCTCATATTTTACTGTGATAAACAGGTGGATGCCATAGGTGCCTTCAGTGACCCACCTGGTGATTAACTGTTAAAAATGGTGAACACCCAGAGTCCTGGCATGGAGGCCACTGTCTTCCCCATCACAGACCTGGCCCCATTTCCCTTCTCCCATGGCCCTTTCTGCCTTTGGGGAACTCACAATTGCTGTTGACTAAAAGAGGCCCTCTTCCACCACAAGCCTGTCAAATCAGACGTCCTAATAATCTCTGAACCCATGTTGGTCAGGACCGGAAGCACAGGCTCCCTTCCTGCCTATGTTTTCCTGAGAGAAATCTATCTTCCCTCCTTTTTTGCATATTTGGCAAATGGTTCCACCTTTCTCTCCGCCCCAGTGGAGTGTGAAGGCGGTGGCAGAGGAGCCGGCCCCGCCACCCGGGCAGCAGGGTCCCTCCTAGGTGGCTGAGTTGAGGGGACTCTGTCTGGCCCAGGGTCCGAAGACCCCAATCCTCAAAGGCGGGATTTGTGTGGGAAAGGCAGCACCCCTTTGGTCTCTGGGAGGCGCAGGCTCACTGGTGAGTGCCACACAGTTTCTTTGCTGCGCTTGCATAGATGGGAATAGCCAGTGTGCCCTCTCTTCCCAGTGGCATGGTGTCTCAGCAGCGGGCGGCCTGCCCCCCAGCACCTGCCCTGCACCCCTCCTGCCGTCTGTCTTGGGGTGATGGAGAGCATCATTATGCTCCATTTGCACTCTCTGCTTTCGGGTTCTCCCATGCTCCACCTCCTGATAGCTAGTGGCGCGGGGCCATGGCTTAACGAATTGCTTAAAATGGGCCCTAATTAGTGGAAAAGTGCCTTCTTCATATTTTCTCATTCAAGTGTGCAATGGTTCATTTTTCTTCAGCAATCAGCTCACTGCTGAAAGAAATCTGACTCTCTTCCTGCGATTTTCGCGCCAAAAGTTAGCTATAATGGAGGTAGGGTTGGTGCAGGCTTCTAGCGTGTGATAAGAATGTGGGGGTGAACCCAGCATTGTTCCTTCATTCTTCCTCTCCCCTGCTTCTTTCCTTCCTTCCTTTCTTCTTCTTCTCCTTCTCCCTAGCGCTCTCTCTCTCTCTCTCTCTGTCTTCCCCCCGTCTTCCTTCTTTCTTTCACAAGTGGGGTTTTAAAGAGCCTATTGAAGAACTAAGAGCTACATAAAGTATTTTTAAATGACCTTATACTTACTAAAATAGATTTGTATGCTGCATTTTTGAGATCACATATTAAAATCACACTCTAAAGCATTTTCTGTTGTTTTGAAACTGTTTAAAACTAAACAATATGGTTTGGATTAGAGTCCTTTTCTAAAGCTAGGAGTTCTACTATGAATATTGATTCATCAGTTTTTGGTAATTTTTTGTTGTCAAATGAGATTTCACTGGCAAACTTGAAGCAAGTGAAATAGCACATAAGATACCTCTATAGACCTGATGGGAAAAATGTTGAATTTAAAATCTTTAGGAGAAATGAAAATGAGGAATTGATCTTTTATAATCTTACTTCTGAAGCACTCTGAAATGTCCTCCCATGCTTTTAATGGAAATGAGAGAGCCAGAGACCCCCTGGCGCAAGTCCCACTTTTA